CAAGCTTGAAATGAGTACAGAAATAGCTTAGTTTATGACTTAACAAACACAAACATCAACCCGAGAAAAGAGACTAGTATACTCACCGAGGGATTTGCACGCTTTAGTTCTTTAAGGCAGTTATCTAGTAGATCCAAGATGGCCATCTGAATAGCTGTCATGCATGGCGTAAACTGAAGGTGGAGCTCAACGACGTCGGGCTGAATAAATAATAGTTGTCAATTATTTACCTTTACAGTAGGGAAGGTAATTCACGTATAGAGAACAATTCCACAGTGTTGCTCCCGGGACGGTTTATTACGGTTTATAAAAAAGAGATTGATTAGTGTTCCTCATGTCCGGGTTGCTCAAATCCTTAGTCAACTCATAAAAAAAACCTATGGTGTTAACCATACATTAACGCTAATCGAGCTTTGAACAGCTCCAATGTCTACAAATAAACGTTTTTTATCTCGAACTCTTTATTGAAAATGTGACCATTCAAAAAATATTTTTCATTTCCAGCCATTTTAAATAAAAAGAAATAAACCAAGTCACTTTTTAATGCAATTCAAAATAACCTTTTGAAAAGAAGTAAACACACTTTGGCTGGTTTTCATAAGAGTGGATTTAATATTATTAACCCGTAAAATACACGTTTTCTTTTCAATGTATTACAGTCATGATTACACTGCGACTATTACTCCTTGTTTCAAGGGGTTTATGAAAGCCACACTAACGCGTTAAAGACRCTTAAGCGTCTTAAACTTTATAACTCTTTACTGTGCAAGTTTTTCTTTGTATTTCTGTGGTTTTTACTTTTATTTCTGCATTTACAACTAGGACGCGAAAACTGCAAATAATTATTGCTGCCGCAGCGTAGCGCGGCTGAACAAAGAAAAGCATTAGAGAAACATTCTAATAGCAAGCTCTGTCCACGATGTCAAAACTAACTTTTTATGTGTCATGTTTGTACATGTTTTTACGCATATACGCATCTGYGTACTAGTGGCAAGTAATTTTCTTGTGATTTGATACCTTTTATATGCTCGCGATGCCCCAAAAACGTTGGAAATCGCATTTCCAAGAAAGAGTTATTATTTCAAATTTTCGGCGGTCCGTGCCCCCTATTCAAAATATGTCCAAAAMGKCCATGCTACGCRCCTGATACCCATCTACTAACATGACCGCTAAAAGTTGTCATCCMCTCTGCACGATTCTTAAGCATACATTGGAACCACAAATAGCTTTACTATGGCAACACTGGTCTCAAGCTGATCGCAGTAAAAACGAGTTTAATTGTCTTGAGGTTTGTTATGCTAGTGTTTATGATTTCACATTCTTGAGCTGTGAAAGTATTTTGCATTATTCAATGCTAATTCTTTCGTTTTCTTTTCTTCACCTATTTCTTCCATTCCTAGTACATCACCTAGTATACTTTCATT